AGCACGCTGTACACCCGATGCGCAACTCTCGCATGCCCAAGGGCCGGAGTGTACGTAAGCTGGAGGGAAAAGTCTTCAAAATGAAAGGTTTTGAGTGGTGGTAGTTATCTTGGAGTGATCGGGGCTTGGTTTCGCGCTTTTGGTCGTCCCGACCCCGACCCGTGCATCCGTGGAGAACCGCAGACCCTCCACCCAAGCCAGCCCAGAAACCCTGGGATTCCCCAATTCCCTTCTAACTTAGTCAAAGCCCCGATCTACCGAACCTTGGTCCAGGGGGTCACGGGTCACGATCACGCATTATTTGAGCCGAACCCGGGGTGGTCTTAATCGAGCCCAAGCATTACGAGAGAAAGATGGATGAAGCGCTCCCACAGCCCCAAAGAACACAGTAAGAGGAGAACGGTCCTCGATGGCATTCACCCCATCCAGAATTGGTGCTCTGCCGGACCTGGATTGCCCACGTGATGCAGGTCGAGCTCGGATTGAGCTGCCATCGAGACTTGCCCTCCGCCACTCTTCAGCATAGGAAGGCAAGGGCACAGACCCACCTCAGGACGAAGGCACATCCGCATCACAACAGGCTTGAAGCTTGCAACTCGGCTCTTCAGAACCCAACCTGTGCTGCGAGAACTCATCTCCAACGCTTCCGACACGTCACTGGCCTGTCGTCGTGCCAGCTTTAGTGGCGGCACACGCCGACCACGTTCCCTCCAGCACTCGGGATGGAACCTCGCGGGCTGAAAAGCGGCATCGACGATGAAGTTCATAAAATGCTTCACGGAGAAACGACCGAGTACGGCTGCTTTTATTTGACCCAGGCCCATGCCTCTGTGTCGGACCGCCCTGTATCTCAGTGACGATCTCGGCGCCCAGTGCACTGAAGGGTCTGCGGCAATGGTAGCAGCGGTGTCCTAGGTCCCGCTTGTTTGCAGGGCGTATGTAGGCTTCCCGTCGCGCGTCGTCTGTTGGCAGAGGTGTGAACTCTGCAAATTCCGACATGCGAACGGCTCCCGGGCCGCCGCTTCCGAAGTCCAGGCGCCACTGCTCCAGGGCTTGCAGCCGGGCCTCCGACCTCTCGCCGAGGCCGAGCCGCTCGCCTCGTCGCTCTAACTGAGCCTGGGCCTCCGCGGCCTCCGGCGCGCCGGGCCCAGGCGGGGCGCTGTCCGAGCGCAGCGCTGAGGACTCCGCAGGACGCGCGAGGCGGAAGCTGGTGGAAGAGCGACGCGGATCCCGCGGCAAGGGAGGGGGCAGGGACGGCACGACCTCACGGTCTGCGTCAGTCATGGGCTCAGGCCATCCAAAGTGTGCATCGTAGCTTTCGTGTAAACTTTGAAAGTACGGATGGCTGGATTGGGGCCATTTCGCTCGCCGGCCTTCAGCTACAGTATCAGTTGGAAGCCCCCTGTGTCCGTCGGTCATTACATGATGAGCTTGGCTGATTGGCTTGAGCATTGAAGCTGTGGTCGGAGGGCTACTACCAGACGACCGGATTTTTCAAACGGCTCGGAGGGCCCAAAAAGAAGGTGAACGAGCGGCAGAGGTAAGATGCAAAGTGCACTGAGCAACATCTAGAATCTAGACTCTGGACGTCGCAAACTAGCCACTGCTTGACAAGAACTCCCTTCAAGCATGAGCCACATGCGTCAGCAAAGACTCTGCCCATAAAGCTTCTAAGCCTGTTGTTTCTGTAGCAATGAATGAATATGCTCATTCCATTTCAGCTTTGTAGTTTCCATTGTTGCTGCTCGCTGTACAACCCAGAAACATCTGCCCAGCCTGACCGCCAAGCAGCATAACCGTCACTGCACCTGGTGGAATGTCAAGTTTTTAGGGTTTAGTCGTTCGGAAGGAAGGACTCAAACAAGAATATACATGTATGTAAACACTCGGACACACATGTGCGTGAATGATGAATGACTGACTGACTTACTGCTGACTCACGGGCTGAGTGAGCGAGTGAGTGAGTGAGTGAGCGAGCGAGTGAGCAAGCGAGCGAGCGAGTAGGTCTGTGAATGGATGAGAGAATGAATGAGTGCGTGCATGAAGATACGCACGTGCGTGCGTTTGTGCGTGCGTGTGTGTGTGCGTGCATGCGTGCCTCTCTGTCCGTCTGTCAGTGTATGCATGTATGCATGCATGTATATATGCCTGTATGCCTGGGTATCTACCTCTATCTGCATATCTATCCATCTATTTTTGTATGTATATACGTAGATATGTACATTTACACAGATGTCAAAAAACACAAACGGAGCAACGCTGAAACCAGCCTGTGGAGATTGCACGCAAGTAGCACCAGCGGACAATGCAACATTCGCGAACCAACAGGCTCAGTTGCATCTTACGCCTGAACGGATCGTCTAGGTCGTCTTGCTGTCATGAACTGCAACTGTACCACCACAAGCCTTCGCCCTCAAAGAGCCCATCTGTGAAAACCTTCTATGCACATTGACACCACGGCCACCCCTGAATGCTCTGGGAGACCCGGGCGATGCGGCCATCGCACAGCAGGACCCGGAAGTTGCATCGCACAGCCACCGTTGACCACAACACCTAAGGACTCAGGACTTTGGGATCTCTTGGAAGGCTCATGATGAGCCGGGCCTCGATCTTTCAGCGGATGTACCGGCTGGCTGGCTTCCAGATGTGGCGTGGGGAGTCTAGGGATACCTTAGACCAGCTAACCTTCGCATCTTGGCGACAGGGCCATCCCATCTTCTGCCTTCAAGATTCTATCTCCGGAGTGCGTTTGCAGGGCTCTCATGTCGACCTTTGCGGACTTCAGCCTAGCGTCTGGGTGGCACTTCGTCGCCAAGGGCGCTCCACATCAGTGGCAGAACCACTTGTCCGCCTGGAGGTTATATAGTATGTCGGGATCCATGTCGTGGCACGGCACGTGGCAGCAAGCGATGCGAAGACTGAGCCACTCCAGGTTCAAACAGTCTGTAGTGCGTCATGGTCGCAACCCTCCCGACTTGCTCGAGTTGACTTACTGGTTTCGCCAGCGTGTGGCTGCGAAGCTTTCCGTCCTCGTGAGCCGAAGATCAAGCAGTCTGCTCCTGAGAGCGTTTGACCAAAGCAACTGTTCAGGAAATCACGAAGAAGACTGATGACTAAGACTAAGCAGTGCAATTGTAACTCGTGACTGCGAAAGTCGTCAGTTGCATGTTGACGGTATCAAGGGTTCCAGAATTCAAGGAGTCAACGGGCGGGATGGACTGAGTTGATATGGTTGGGATCGGCTTGCTGCTTGGGTTCTTGAATCTGGCACTTTGAGCTGTTTGGCCCATTGAGCAGTACCGGATCTGTGCAGACCCAAAAAGCAATGCTGCCTTGCAGAAGAAGCGGCTGCGATGAATACCCATACGAACGAGGTCCTCTGTCAAAGGAAATCTGGAGGACAAGTCGGCTTGCTGTTCCTATGACAATCGGTGACTTGCAAACCGAGGTAGCGCGTGGTGCACATCTGCAGTTTGGAACCCAAAGAAAGCGAAGGGTTTTGGCCCTGTCTGCTTTACCTGAGGTCCATCTCTAAATGCCAGTCTGCTGAAAAGCTGTGGCATCAAAGCAAGCAAAGAGATCATGCACTTCCCCTACCCTAAGCTTCTCAAAACTGTCCGTTTGTGTCCTCTCCGAAAGTTCGCAGATTTGGGGCACCAGCGCCAGTGTCCCAACACTCAGGATACCGGTCCTTGGGCAGCAAAGATCACCAGCTTTCTATCTTCAGACGTACGAAACTTAGCATTACGCTGACTCCCATTGATTTCATTGCCTGCCTTTCTTGGAGGGTTTCGAGTTCCGAAAGCTGACAGCATCCGCGAATCCAGAACTGATAAATGGGCACAAGCGACCACCTAAGAGCAAACTACGAGATGAAGATGCAAATTAATCATTGTGACTGATCATTTACCCGATGACCAAGGTACTCATCGGTTTAAAGCTCGTGCGCGCTGTAATTCTCAACGAGTTTTCGAGCTCATGCACAAGAGGTCGCCAAAAGCAATCCGAGGCTCGTAAAGTACGCCTTTCCTTCCGGCTACCTCTACCTGTGACCGAGCTGTAGGAGGCTATGCGCGGCTTGTTTGTAGCATCTTGCATGTAGCGGGTTTGGGAAATTGCATCTTGGAAGAACTCCCGCGCACACCGTCTCGAAAAGATCCACTCCATGGAGCCGCAGAGTTCTGGCACTCAAGCACCTACGATTCCAGTCGTCGTAGCAGATCCCTGTGGCTAAAGGTATGTATATATATATAATACGAGTCTAGTGTGGTAGGGCTGCAGAGTACAACGGGTGTGCCGGGCCGGCCAACCTGCAACATGCAACAATTTACTGATTCACATGTTACATGTTGGGCATGGAAGCTATACTAGCACCTATACGCCCTGACTAGAAGCAGTGCTGAATCGCTGACCCCTGTGCCTGGAAGCCTGGCTCTGCACCCAGCGCTCGAAATCGAGTGCCGAGGGTCCTCAAGGATGCTCCGCTCTCCCACACAGTTTTTGCACGAAATGGCAGGACAGCATCGTCAAGCGCCCACTCCCGCAGGTACTTAAGAAGTAGCTATAGTTCGGCGATGTTCTGGCCTTGTGCCTGGTCCTTCTAATCGACGATCCAGCGGGCTATTCGGACGACAGCACCCCAAAGTTACCCAAACATCTAAGCTGAATATAGGACATACATCAAAGATCTCCGAAGGCCGAAACTTACAGAAGCTAGGGAACAGGCAGCAAGTGGGACAAAGTACAGGCATCTACACTTCCCCGTACATGATATTATGCTTACCAGACAGGTTTGTCTGCACAAAACATGCATGCCAACACATATAGGACCAGACGGACTGACAGACAGACAAAAAGACAGATATGCAGACATACAAGCATACACACATGCATGCACACACACACACATAGCCCAGAGGGCCATGTAGGCTGCAGGCATCCGTACATGCTTATACATACGTACGGGCATACTAAGAGCCTGGCAGCGCTCACAAAATTGGTAGCTCCGTTTGCCACTTGAACTCTTGCTGCTTTTCGGGACAAGACTGCGCTGCAGTCCGACTTAGGCTCGCCCCGAAAAAAGGGCTGCATTTCCTTGCCCAGGAGAAGGGTCACGTAGGAAGAAACGCGGTTCGGGTGCTCTCCTTGTTCGGTTGGCGTCGGGTGTCTCTGAGTGACATGTGGCTTCATGAATCCAGCCCCAGTCGGGACTCAAAGCCGAGTCTCTTCGACCCTAAATCCAAACCTTCCGGCAGTTTGAAGGCTGAGGGTCGCAGGCCTTGACTCCCATCCTGGCCCCAAAACTCTCAGGGTAATTTGCAGGCCGAGGGTGTGCAAGCCTTGGACTCCCGCCCTAACCCCAAAAATCTTAACCCCAGGCCGGCTTTTTTTTTCGGGTTTTAGTGTTTATGCTAATTTGCAGGCTCAGGGTTTACAGTCCTTGGCCCCCCACAAAAAAGCCAAAACCATCAGGCCCTCGCCAGATTCTGACCAAATTAGGCAATCAAATCTAAAGCGGAATGCCAAATTCTTCCAAATGATGCACAATATGTCCAAGTCATGCAAAATAATTCAAAATACTTCAGCTCTCTGTTCTCAGCCTTAAAAACATACCTTCCTGACGAAATACCTCAGTTGCGCTAATGAACAATGGATCCATTAGTCCGTCCATCCATCCATCCATCCATCCATCCATCCATCCATCCATCCATCCATCATCCATGAATGCAAGCATGCAAGCATGCATGCGTACATTAATGAATCCATACACATGCGCATACACGGATTCAGCCGTTCGCTGATTCATTAATTCGTTCGTTCATTCAGGCATTCATTCGTTCGATGATTCACTCGTTCATTTTGTTCACTCAGTCCGTCAGTCAGTCAGTCGCTCGTTCGTTCATTCGTTCATTCAGTCGTCTATTCTCTTTGTTCATTCAGTCATTCCATTCACTCATGGATCCATTCATGCATTCACTGGTTGATTAACCGATCGATTCCAGCAGCATTGGCTTCATTCATTAACATAGTTATTCGTTCATCTGATCGATTCCAGCAGTATTGGTTTCATACATAACAAAGCTTTTCGTTCACGTATTCATCCCTTCATTCCTTGATTCCTTCATACTTTCGTTCTTTCATACTGAATGAATGAAACTGAAAAAATGCTGTAGTATGCATCTATTCATTCGATGGATCTGTACAATCTTCGGGAGCAAATCATCCATCTACCATCTAACGAGCAGAATGGATACATGCATGCATAGACAAACGATTCAATGCCTGTCTGCATATACAGACTTAGCACATGATCCCAATGCAGGCTTCCGGGTGTTGAGGTTACTCCTGCCGGTTCGGCCGTGCTCACGTCTTGGGGTCGGCACTGAAGGCCACTCCCTGTATTCCCTATTTCCCAAAACTCCTGAAAGGACACACCTACCAGATTATCCTTCGGATTCGTACTGCCAGCACTGCTTGCGCGGCTGCTGTCTATCACCACGTCACCATATACGGGCGAAACAGTCCTTATGACAAAACCGCTTATACTTCTATGAAAGTACTATCTTGACCACGAATCTGCATCCTTTAGCCTTTAGCCCGAATTCAATCCAGCGTCTTGACCCCAGCGCCGGGAGCGACAATGAGCAAACGGGCAGCCTCGAGAAAGCGATCGCCAAGATTCTGGTAGGGAAACGAAGTCATGGTTTAGTGTGTGGTAGTAAAGGTTTGGCGGCCCGACACTATCCTTCAAGTTTTCGTTTCCAGTATAGCTCGTGACATCTGCAGGACTGATAGCTAGACTGCCGCCTCTCTGTGAGGAGAGCCGCATGTCGAGACAGTGCAGCTCCAACCCAGTCGGAAGTTGGGGAAGTTGGGGAAGGGCCTTCTGCAAGAGACTCGCCGACTCTGCGAGGCTGAGGGCATAGACGCCGGAGGCCAGCTGAACGTGGACCTGAAGCCGTGGAACTGGCAAACATTCGCCTTGCAACCTCCTGACGTCTTCGGCAGAGCCATTTTTGCTACCGTACTAGGTCGGAGGCAGTCTGGCTCTTTGCATCTGTGCCGGCAATGGTTCCGGCTTCCCACCTCCGGTCGAAAACTGGGCATGATTGGGTATCCCGAGAAGAGAGTAGTAGTAGTAGTAGTAGTAGTAGTAGTAGCAGTAGTAGTAGTAGTAGTAGTAGTAGTAGCAGGAAGAAGAGAGTAGTAGTAGTAGTAGTAGTAGTAGTAGTAGTAGTAGTAGTAGTAGTAGTA